TTCGACTTCTTGTTAAAAACTGCAAGTCCAATTGCATTTATATTACATATATAGGTACTACATGTGGACCTCTCTCAGATTTGTTCATCTTGTAATGATATCTGTAATTCTCTAATTTTGGTGAATATTTTTGTCATTTTTGGTAAAAAGTGATATTTTCGACTTGTTGAAAACTGCAAGTTTGATTGCTTTTATAATACATATAAAGGTACTACATGTGGACCTCTTTCAGATTTGTTAATTTTGTTGTGAAATCTTCAATTATTTAATTTTGATGATTATTTTCGTCATTTTTGGTGAAAAGTGATATTTTTGACTTCTTGTTGAAAACCACAAGTCTGATTGCTTTTATATTACATATATACGTACTACGTGTGGACTTCTTTCAGATTTGTCCCGTTGCTTTTTATATATATATTGTTCATTTTCTAATGATATCTTCAGTTCTTTAATTGTAATGTGCATTGCTAACAGCGGAGCTTTCTCAGCCGAGAGGCTGCTTGTTAGTGGTAGGGTTTTATTTTTGAGTGAAAAATCATTTTTGTGCCTTTAGGTTTGCGTGTTATCCAATAACATGATCTGAATTTCTTGGCTGACTTATCTAAATAATATTCATGTTGGTTTGCATACAGGTGTTAGCAGCGGCAGCACAAGAACTATCAGAGCCAGTTCAGATGATGGGATCTAGTAAAGGGAAGTCGTCTACGGCTGTCAGTTCGGGCTACGTACAGCAGAGTGACAGTCCCACACACTGGAAAGATATCGTACAACAAAGAATAGAGCGTAAAACAAGGAGATTTGCCAAAGTGAGTGGTGGAACATGTTACCGTAGTAACATGGAAGATGTTGCCATAGTAACAGGGAACATGTTGCCATAGTTTGAATGAAAATATTTATACACATAGTGAACATCAAGATGTCAAATACCAGGGATAGATGAAGTTTCATACTTTTATTCTTTCTATTGCCTGAAATAATGCTTGGTGATAGTTATCGTGCCCTCAGCAATGGATTCACTGTTGCTGACCATGTCAAACACCGCAGCCGAGTATACAGACTTGATATGGCAGCCATTTTGATTTGAATAATTATGATACATTTTCCTTTATTTCAATATTCGATCATATTTCCTGTCTTTTAAATTCACACTTTAATTGATGTAGTTTTACATTATTATTCAATTTTTTTTTAATTAACTTGTTTTGTTTCTTTAAAGGGTACTAGCAAACCAGAACCAATACCTGTTGCAAATAGATTTTCACCAGTTGCTGGGCATTTCTTTTTTCCTTTACTTAAAAATTATGACAGGTAAGTAGTATATAATGATAGTGAATAACTTTATTACCGTCTTGAATGCCAACGTCAGCTTTTGGCACCATTCACAATTTTTAGTCCCTGTTCGGATGCAGTCCGAAAACGGGGACTTATGTTTTGACCTCCGTGTGTCCGTGCGTGTGTGTGTGCATCCGGACCGGTATCTTAGAAATGCCTGGACCAATCACAATCAAACTTCACACATACATCATACATGATATTATACATATGCACGTCAATTTGTTTCACGATCTGATTAAAGATGGCCGAATGGCGGCTCTTTTTGTGCTAAAAATCATCAAAATCAAGCATTTCCCAGCTGTTTACAGATGGATTTTGTTCAAACCTTGTATATACGTTGGACATTATAGGACCTTGATGCACATCATTTTGTTTTACGATCTGATTCAAGATGGCCGAATGGCGGCCATTTTTGTGCTAAAAAATCATAAAAATCAAGCATTTCTCGGCTATTTACACATGGATTTTGTTCAAACTTGGGATATACATTAGACATTATGGGACCTTGATGTAAATAATTTTGTTTTTCAGATAAGATTCAAAATGGACAACTGTTGTTTTAATGAATGTGGTTCTCGTGCCATATCTCTGACTTGCTTTCACTGATTATATTCAAATTTTAAATATTCATTATACATCATGTCATAGATAGACAGATATATTGGTTTGACGATCCTATTCAAAATGGCCAAATGGTGGTCATTTTTGTGCTAAAAAATATCAAGAATTTATGGCATTTATGGATGGATTTCGTTCAAACTTGGTACATACATTAGACATTACGGGTTCCTGATGCACGTCATTTAATTTTTCTGATTGGATTCAAAACGGCTGACTGGTGGCCATTTTGTGTTAATGATTGGGCTTCTAGAGCCATGTCTCTTGAATGCTTTGACTGATTATGTTCAAATTTTATATATTCGTTATACATCATGTTATATATATACATGTATTCAAAATTACTATGAACAAAACTATATATCTTAAATTTGATAACTAACAGGGACTGTGCCATGCATGGCTTGTGTTATATTATTCAAATTAATATAGTATATGTAGTACTGATTATAGAAAACATGAAAATTAATTAATTATTCTAAATTTTCCATGCAAAGAAAAGATTGTACCTAGTAGTAAGTGCATCGTTAGTTGTATAAATCCTGTAATTTGAGTTATGTAATATTTAGATTTTCAATGGTCATGGTTGTAATATCAGTGCTATGCTTTTATATTTTGATCAAGACAGGTAGCAAATCGAGATTATCTTCATTTGGTCCAAAATTATCTAAAGAATTTTAGAAAAACATTTGCAAAATGTTACATCAGAAATATGGAGGGAAAAATTAAATATATGCTGTTTGTGTGACTGGATTGCGTTGGATACCGCAAATCATTTATGTTTCACTGTTAGACATTTTCGCGATTCAAGGATTTTATGGTAATTGTCATGATAAATTTATGAAAGTCACAGACACTTTGTGTGTAGGACCTCAGAAAAATTTTCACTCATACAAATTCGTGCGATTTTCACTGATTCACGAAAATTCGTCTCACAAAATTTAAGGAAAAAATACTGAAAATGTGAAAAAATAAATCAAGTTAGCAGCATATGCAACTCAATGAGAGTGTTGCTTAAAAGGGCAGGGTTATCACACCTAGTGTGTCTGTTGAAATTTTTTTTGCTCACGATCTATAGACCACATGGGATCCATATCGAACACGTGGCATCACGATAGCTTCCCTCCATTAAACTGCGACACATTTGACAATCATGTCTGGCTTGATGATTAGACTGACAATGTTGACGATGAAAAGATGAATGAAATGAATCATACTGAGTAGCTAAAGTCATTCAGGTTGTGCCCCAGGGTTATGTTAGCATTCAGTCACCATGTGTGCGTGTGTGGGTGTGCGCACCAATTGCGCTCACAGACCATAACTGAATCTTTTAAATTTTAAAATGTCATTTTTTGTCTCATGAAAAGCTTAGATCAAAGTAACACAATTTTTTTTAATGTTTCTTACTTGAATGTTATCACTGAATGACAATGCACTACAGATTCTTGATAATAAATGACAAAAACATAAAAATGTTGGTTATCTGAATTTTTTTCAAATAAAACAATGACTTTGCGATTTCTTTATAGTGTTAAACACTACATCAGCAGCCATTTTGGATTGGAAAATGTGAGAAATGCATACAATATGCAATAGATGCAGATGGACAGAGAGATTTCATTGAGAGCGAGAGACTACAAAACTTGCATTTCTCTCGTCAAATCGTGTTCCATTCTCTGCTGTGATCGCATCCACTGTTCCAAACGGTAACATGAATCAGGAGAGAAACAGTTAATCACAGAGAATAATTTAGTTTTACGAAATCTCTGTCTCAAAAGTGTGTTAGCTGCGACATTCTTTATAGTACATACATACACTAGAGGTAAACATGAAAACATTCTTAGTTATTCATATCCTGTATTTAAAATAATTATAATCTAGCATTACAATATTAAAAGTTGTTCATCATATATTTAGTCTTGTGCGTTCTTTCAAATCTATTCAAGTCATTCAAGCACCACGTTCATACATAAATCATGTTTTTTGAGCCTGTTGTATACATGTATGTTGCATAAACCCCAATCTATGATGTAACACATTCATAAAATGGACGTCATCTTCACAGCCGGACAAGTACGCTGAGTCTCCTTGATCAAGATTATCTATTACTTGGAAGACTTCTATATACACTGGGTGTTGTCATGTATGCAGCAATCAATTCTACCGTGAGTTATATTGAAATTTATTTCAACTACAGGGCATTTTGTTGTCCAAAAGGCTACACCAACTCTGATTGGGTGGTACATGTTTACATGCATGTCAAATCAGATCTATATATTTTACTTTAAGTCACATATGTGATCGCTTGGTTGAATCATGCTCAGGTTCATCGAGGGAGTGTGTATACTTCAAGATCGTTAAATCCTGTGATTTGGACGATGTGTTTGCTCAGGCATTCTCATATTCGTGCAACTATTCTTATTACATGTATTATGCAAATTCCATCTGATGAAGGCGTGTGATACTTTTGATATGTCACCTTTAACCCTTTGAGCACCAAAGTCAATTTCAGGCACTACCCCGGTATATACAAAATAGTTTCATTTATAGTCTGGTCTATTCCACACAAAAATTTTGCGAACATTTTGACTGTTTTGGTCAAAAACTAAAAGCAATGTCATATTTTGTCTGTTAGGTGTAAAATTGAAATTTAATTCAGTGAAAATTACAGAAAATCTGAAAAAATTTATCTCAATTTGAGCAGGAAAAAAATGTGGCTCTCAAAGGGTTAATGTAAACTATATCCTCCTATCAGCAGTTTGATTGGTCATTGTATGTAATTTGAAATTGTGATGTCATTGGCCGACAAATTACAACGATGGCAAAATATAGCTCACTCACTTGAAGATTTGACGAGAACATTTTTGAAATATTTATTATACATATATTATTTCAATACTATTATAATATTTTGTTTAGATATGTCGTCATATGGCCAGTAGTTTATTGGAATTTATCTGGGTTCTAAGATACCACACTGAACCGTAAGTTTTCAATGTTTTCTGTGAGGCCAACAAACAAATTATTTGTTTCTGGTCACATCTACATGACTTTTTTCTTGTTTGTTTTTGTTGAAATATCAGAAACAAATAATTTTTCTTTTATTTCATGTAATGCATCGTTAACAGTTTGAGCACTCGCCTTCACTTGTAATTCTTATTTCTTTCTGTTGTCAGCATCTTCCAAGTTATTCTGTTTCTGTCTGGTTTGAACAAGGAAGTGTCCACTTAAGAAATCTCTATACTTTTGTGTGATTCTTTTATTAATTTTAAATATGCAGGCGTATTTTATTGCAAAAATGCTAATTAATTTCATTTGATACATATATGCTAGAATTCTCATGATTTGATGATTTCAATGTTTTTGTGAAGACGTGATTTCACGAAAATTGTCATGACTTTGTCTTTAGGACCTCAGTAAAATTTTCACTGCTACCAAATTTTGCCATTCTTATTGACACACAAAAAATTCAGGTAACTTTCCTCTCATGAATAAAACACATTTTCAGTACATATCATTTGATGACATTAGTTCATTGCAATAAAAAGCGCTATTCTATTTATTTTTTTTCAGATTTGTAAGGCAAGCGTTATTATTTGCATTGTCTATGATTATATTAAGTGTACCTTCTCATTTACTGGTATCTGATCTACAAACTGATGTGATGGAGTGTAGGCTATGGTTACAAGGTAAAAATGTATTTCACTAACTGATATACCTAAACACGAATAATGTACGCAATTCATTGAGGTTTTGTCTATGATCAAAATACTGTGAAATGCTAGATTTTCGCTGGAATTAATTTTCGCTGAAAAGGCTTTTTGGTTATTTTGTATGAAATTTATTTTTACTGATTTTTGATGAGTTTAATGTGAAATATAGAAAAAAAAGTATATTCACTGGATTATATTTACACGGAATCATCCCTTCAGTGAAAATAGCGAAAATAAATTCCAAGCGAAAATAAAGTATTTTACAGTAAGTCACATTTGTAGTACATGAATTACAGAAATAGTAAAAATATTTTAATTATTCAGTATACATCAGATGTGATTTTTTGGTTTATATATGCTTCAATTGGAAATGTGTTTTCAATGAAACAAATATGTGCTTTTATTTTAATATTATAGCAAATGTTTTATTTGTTATTTGACCAAGCAGTTGAACAATCCAAGCAAAATTCATATGAGACTTGTTTTCGTGAGTGATAGAAAATCATTACATTGTTTACTAGTGAATTTTCTCAAATGTTGTCCCCGGAAACGAAACCATTCCAACATGAAAATTACCAGCTGCAGAAATTAACTGATTAAGATATGCCAAACTGGCTGATTGTTCCCAAGATGTTGTGCCAATGCAGGGGAAACACTTCGACCATTCACATTTCACTTACCGGTATTGTTGCCAGAGCAACTAGCACAATCATTGATTTAATTTGTGTCTTAAAATAATATAGATCAGATCTGTCGATTTATTGGTGATTAAACCATACGTATATATGTCACACAGTTGTCAAAGCGGCTTATTTCGTCCATCTGTCTATGTACATTAAAATGATCGTTAGATATGATATATTACGATAAAACTGGTAATCCCCAATGACAGTATTTTGACAAAATGCTTAAAGGCCCAGGTCATACTTACAGGACCCGGCCCATCCTTGTTTAATAGTTAATTTATTGGTGGTGCATTTCCTGTTTGTGTATTGTGACCTTTCATGGATGAAATCCCCACACATAGGTAATTTAATATCATAATGGTGGACTTAAATTATTACTGTGATATTCATAGTCACATAATTTCAATTTTTGGTAACGTAGGAAACTATAAGCCGCGAAAATACAATTTAACTAGATGATCTGCTTACAAAAAGGCAAGAGACTTGAAATAAACTGAGCTCCATTGTTAGGGTTCATTACAAACGTTATACAACCTTTAAAACAAATCATAATTTTTACCACCACCATTTTTTGTGCAACATTTTATGTATTATCTATAATTTCTTTACTAATTTTGAATTAAATGGATATATTTTCAAATTGTTGTGAAATAAATATTAGAAAAATGATAAGAATGTAATTTATGACTGGTGAAAGAAGTAAACCTCTTTGCACAAAAGGTTGGAATGTTAGGCTTTGGTCTGTATTTTGTCATATATGAATTGTTTTCTAATTTTCTAGATATAATAGAAAAAGATCCTGACACAGAGTGCAAGAAGCTATCACTGCAGACTTTAATGATATTAGAAAATGCCATGAAGAAAGTAAGTACATGGAATGAGCAAAATGTGAATGGGTTTACATTTCCACTGTAGGGAACTGTGGTGAAATGATAGACAGATAAAAGATAAAATTCTCATTCTCATCCCTGTATATAGTGCAGTAAGATGTTATTTTCATCATGTAGTATAAATTATTTCTGCTTCCAAAAGTTTCCTGTTGAAACATTTACTAGTATTGTTCTTGCTAATTGCTGTATGTTATTTATTAGTCCCCTTTCGGATGTAGTTCGAAAACGGGGACTTGTGTTTTGACCTCAGTG